AAATTGGGGAATATTTGTTAGTCTTAGTTGTGATGGCACAACTAAGTCACAATCGGATCAGAAATGAACATCTCTTCTCCATGAGGGTACCTACACATTCAGTTAATGCAATGCAATAAACTCCGGTGCTCCTTGAGCCGGATTACACTGCTCCCAGGCACAGTGTCTCCACATGCACCCAGGACAGCAGCACTTTGAACCGGGAAGAGCAGGCCCAGACTGGCAGAAAGCTCAAAGGGTCAGCCCTGGGCTCCAGGTAGAAGCGTTGGGCAGTGGAGGAGGTGGCTGGGGCATGAGAGTGCCGAATAAGCAGAGCCATGTGGCTACATGACAGGCAGAGATCTGGTCCCCTGCTGCCTGGGCTGACCAGGTGCAATTTATGCTTGTGGTCAGTGTTTACACATGCATTTCAGCACACAAAATGACCTCAGGGACAGTACTATCTTACAGCGGAGTTAATTACCTCACTGACACATTTGTAGACAATGACACTTTACTGCAGTGTTCATTGGTCAACTCTGTAGCAAAGCACACGTGTGGATGCACCCAATGGAGGCCAAAGAATTTAAGTCCAGAAAGATAATAAACTTCCATTCAGTAATCTATGCATCAAACTTATCCTGTTTGGCTAAAGTTTATCTTTTAGATGGGTAGCCAGTGGAGCTAAAAGAAGTGGAGAAACTACAACCTGGTAGTTCATTCTAATAACTGTCCTCACTGTTAAATCTATGCCTTGTATTCAAATTTGTTTGGTTTTAACTTTCAGGTAGTCCTCCTTATATGAGCTGCCTCCCCTAGACTAAAAAACCTTTAATAGCATTGAAGGCACTCAAACCCAAATCAGGTCAAATCTTCATCTTCTTTTTAATAAGTCTGAATGCAGTGATATTTTTATGTCTCTAAGTGTACAGCATTTTCTTCTTCACAACAAAAAGATTTGTTTTTCCCTTCACTGTCTAGTAACTAGAAACAGTGAAGGTTTCAAATCGGTTGAGTCATGTTGTTTTGATACAGAATTTGCTCTGGATAGTATCTCTATGGCCCCCAAAATTCATTTGGCTACTTATGTATTCTGCCTGAAAGTGTTTGAAGAATGGAAGAAAAGAAGTTCGTTAGTATATTCTCATGGCCAGAGTAGTACCTGGAAGAAGGAAAACAACATCCTTGGGACAGCTGACCTTTCTGTTGAAGAGGTCAGCCTGACTCAGAGCTCAAGTTTATAGTTATTTTTCAGAACAGAAAACAGCAGATCATTATAAACTATTTAGATAGTTGATGTTCTTCTTTTTATATTTTTATTCATTTGAGTATTAGATGCTTTCATACCACAAGCATAATTTTACAAAAGCGTCACTTGTCACAGGCAAGTTTAATTAGCAGGAGACTTTCACTTTATTCTTTCAGTGAATGGAACTCATATTCAAGGAAAAATAGTTTCAAAATGTTGTGGAACTAATAATGGTCTTTGTGGTTGGTAATATATATTTCTATATTTACAATAACCTTTTGACTTTTTTTTAAAAGAAATACTAACTTGGTATGGTAGTCAAGATCTTTGTTTGCAGAGGTTTGCTAGTATACAGATAGTGCAAGTGTGGACTCACTCGAGGTTACCAGTGCAGGAACTGCAACAATTCTTCCTCCAGTAAAGCTTTATCTAGGGCAGGTTTTTTTGTGTGTTTTTTGTTTGTTTTTGTTTATTGTTTTTGTTTTTCACCTATATTGGAATAAGAGATAAATTATTTATCATACAATGCTTACCTTTTAGAATATTGATAATAAGTGTTGCTGTTTTAAAAAGTTTCTTTTTTTCAAGTTTTTAATTCACTGCCTTTTTACTCAACTTTTTTTCTTCCCTATTAGAAGCCCATTCCTGAGACATTGTCATGCAGTGGGGTTCTCCTGTGTTTAGCCAACCTAGTATTATGATTACTTTCTTTTTGTATTTTTAGTCAGATGTTTCTTCAAAGAATAATTTTCAGATTTACAGTTTTCATGAGGCACACGGCCAAAGGCGGGGCAAGGAAGCTGTTTTAAACGGCGGAGCTCCGCAGCCAATCAGGCCGCTCTCGTAGCCAATGCGAGGCTGAGCCGAGCGAGCAAGGTTGCAAGTGCAAGACAATAATTATTAAAAAAAAAGCAACATGGCTTCTTCCACAGAGGAATAACAGCATACCCCAATTAAAAGGTCTTATCCCATCATTCAATGTGTATTTTATTACTGTTCTAATAAACATTACATTTAAAATTGTAGTTTTAAATTGATAAGGAAAAAATAAATCATGTCATTTTAAATAAGCTTCAATATGGATACTCAAATATTTTAGTGAAAGATTATAAGCAGAGATCCTGGTTTTCTCTGATAAAAACATCCCCAATTTTTGGATTAAAAAATGTAACCCAAAAAACACATGTTTTCGTGATCAAAATGAAACACCACTAATATATATATGTGTGTGTGTTTTTTTGGGTTACTTTTTTAATCCAAAAATTGGGGATTTTTTTTTTAATCAGAGAAAACCAGGGTCACTGCTTATAAGTAATAGTTATCCAAAATTGGTTGGCTATCCGGGTTCAGTAAATAGCTACTTGTGAGGTTCAATGGAGATATATTTATATTTAGTCTCAAATAGTGAGTAAGTATTTGATAGCAATTAGGAGCTATTAGGAGTATCTTGAACCAAATAAGAAAATGATTGTCTTTTAAAAAGTGCAGTATTGTGATGGATTTTCTTTTATTCTCAGTAAGGTACTTCATGTATTTGAATGCATTTGATGCTGTGGAGCCCCAGTCTGGAGTTAATATTTAGTATAACATGTACAATCTCGTGCAATAGGAGTGAGGATCTTTCCATGCTTTCAGATTCCTCACATGGCTGTTTTCTGCTGGCTGCAGCAGCTATAGAATTGTATATTGGCAGTTTTGAAAATAATAAACTGGGTGGGGGATGGAGGGATGGTTATGTTTAGCTACAGAACATAGGATTTATTTTTCATGTAGAAATATTACATTGAATGAGGGCACATCTACACAAGATGCTTTACTGTGAAGTAGGATAGTTTACTGCACAGTAAGCATATGTGTCTACACATGCACATGCTTACTGCATGTAAACCTCACTAATCAAAATTAAATTTGCTACCTGCAAGTGCAAGTAGCAAATTTACTTGTGATTAGTAATGGGGCAGTAGCACTCATGTAGATGCCTAATCAGGAGCAAATCTTCTGCTGGTCAGCTGGCCACCAGGGGAGTGGGAGATAGCTCCCTGCCCCTGGGAGCGGCATGCTGCCAAGGTGGACTCTGCCACTGGAGCCTGGGCAAGGCTGTGTCCCTGTGTCCTGGCATCAGGGACCTTCAAGCCACCCCACTTTGAGATTGTGATTGGGGAACAGGTTCTGTGACATCGTTATCACCAAGCCCCTGCTTCACCATCATGATTGAGGAGTGGAAAGCTCTCCCAGTGCCAGCTCTGCAGTCATGGGGCTTGGGATGGGAGACCCTTATCTCCCAGCGCCAGCTTCATGACTGCAGGGCCAGGGCTGGAAGATAAGGTCTCCCAGTCCAAGCACCATGGCTCCATGGTTGCAGAGCTGGCAGTGGGAGCTCCCTACTGGCGGAGGCTGGGGATCCTGTTCCCTACCCAGCTCCACGCTTATGGAACTGAGTGGTGAACAAGCTCCTCACCCTGTTCCCTGTCCAGCTCTGTGCTCATAAAGCTGCTTGGGGAACAGGCGCCCCAGCCTCTGCCCCACAACTGTGGAGCTGGGGCTGGGAACTGTTCTGGTCAGGGGCAGGTCTGAATCGTATGCTGTGACTAGGTGATCAAGGCATGGGACTTGGAAAGAGCTGTGGGGATGGGGTAGATCCCAGTCCCCTGCCCTGATCTACCAGTGGGGCAGCTAGCAGCAAGCTAGCTGCTAGTTGCCCCACTGGTGGATGGGATAGGGGGCTGGGACCTGACACTTCCCTGCAGCTTTTTCCAAGTCCCCTGCCCCTGATCAGGGAGCCAGGGCTAGGAGCTCCCTGCTGCTGGGGCAGGGAGACATTATTCCCACCCCAGCAGCAGGCATTCCTGAGGGGCAGGGGGGCTGTATCACAGAAACAGCTAGGAGACAGCTGCCTCCTGGTCCAGTGTTTCCTGCCAGGCCCTGGACTAGCACCCAGGAGTCTAGAGCTCCCCCTCATGGTGGCAGAGGCCTATTGCAGGGAAAGTGGGAGCAGTTAATTAGCATTAGCAGCAAATCTGCTCCTGCTTGCCTACATGTGTAGATGCCTGCCTGGGAGTGTTGACTCGCAAGTACTTTACCTGCAAATAAACTGATTCCCGATCAAATGCATGTGTAGAAATGACCTGAATGTGTGAGGATAAAGTGCTTATGCCTTAAAGATATAAAACATCTCTAATTTTCTTCTTATTATTATTTATTTCAGTATCTTAGCTTTATGCAAACTACATTCCTAGGACAAATTTATTATTAGTATCAGGAACTAGGAAATAATGTGCTGTTGTTTATTTCCCTTGGGGTAATATTTCCTAAATGAGTATCTTTTTCTGACCCAATTGTGTTGATTTTCTTAATATTGAATAAGCTGGGTATCACAATGTGTCCTTTCAGAAGGGGAAAAGAGCACCCTTTATATGTGTTCACAGTTTCTGTCATTGTCTAGTTTTTACTCCTAGTGACTGTCATTTTAGCAAAAGCAATATTATTATCGATACTTGTGTGATATGACCTGAGTGATGAAGATTGTAAATCTATCTGTTTTGCTTGCATACTTCTGTGCTTGTGCACCATGTGTTGTACACATACCTGCAAAAACAAATTAGAATGTCATTCTGCAAGTCTCTACCTACGAATTGTAATAAACTTCTGCTTCTGTTTTGTATTTGCCCTAAAATCCTAATATTTTAAATAAAAAGAAATTACTTTTAATTAAACTACTTTAGGGACTAAAAAATGCATAAATTTAACTGGCATCTATGTAACTTTCTTGTAGGCTTGTTCTAAGTTCAGTATCTGACTACTTTGCTGCGATGTTTACAAGTGATGTTTGTGAAGCCAAACAAGAGGAGATCAAAATGGAAGGCATAGACCCTAATGCATTGTGGGATCTTGTGCAGTTTGCATACACAGGTAATGTAACATGTGCAGTGTATTTCCTAGAAAGGAGAATGTTAAATTTTGTTGACTGGAAACAGATCCTCATATAGCTTTATTCATATAGCAAATATTTTTGGATATGTACAGACTTTATACTTAGATCTAACTAACTGTACATATATACAGGGAGTTTAGGTTGGGCAAAGAATGGCTCGCCTGATCTAACTTATTTCACCTGAGGAGGTGCACTATGTAGTTTGGATTAAACCATACCTAATCTAACCATTTGGAGCACAGCCCCAGGGCTCAGAAAGCCCAGCAACTCATCCCAGCCCTGGGACTGCACTTTTCATAACCCTACATCCTAATCAGAATGGGTGCTTATACACGAGCAGGGAGGTTGGTCCAATGTGCATTGGAGTACACTTGATTAATTGAGTCTGCTGTAGCATGGCAATTACTGTGCTCCAGTGGCCTCCAGCATCTCGTGTATCAGTGTCCCTGCACTTCAAAATGGCAGTG